GACAATATATATATATATATATATATATATATATATATATATATATTGAATGTTTTTTCATTTTCGAATAGAAAATTAAAAGATTTATTTATTTGTTGAAAATAAATATGCATTTTTTTACAAGAATAAAAAAGTACGTCAATATTACAATTATTTTTAAAAATTCAAAATTATAATTTATAATATTCATCTTAATATTTTATATTCATGATAATCTAATTATAAAATATTAAGTTTATTTCATTAAAAATTACACCGTTAACTTCAAAAAAACTTTATATTAGATTTATCACAAAAATTAAATGCATGAGACTAACTAAAAATAAAAAAATAATAATACCTTTAATCTTTACATTGAAAAAAAAACATTTGTATAAAAAATGTATTGTTCATGTTTTTTTATTAAAAGAACAATAAAACATTTGAATCCAAAACCTCTAGAATGTGTTTTTCAAACTCGGTATGAATTCAAAAAATTAGTTTTTTTATTTCTTAGAACGGGACATGTTGTCTTTGAATAAATAGAAAGTTTTAGTTTTTCTTTTGTTTTTTTTTCTTACTCCATTTGTCCAGAGAAAGAATAAACGGTAGCTGGTTCTTGGACGCACCCTCGAGAGAAGGCCATTAATATAAATTATCCCAAAAGGCTTCCGGACTCGAGGTGTTAGATTATTAGGGAAGGTGGAGCAGGAAGACAGACAGGGAAGGGTGGGAGTGCACAAAAGAGCCAATGGGACTATGATGGCAATGAGGAAATAATATGTTTTTGTGGCAAAAGAGATCACATCAGATTCCCGGTCACTTCCTGAAATCACTGTCTTGTCAATGCAAAAAGGCTGCCTACGACATGGTACCCTCTCCGTCCCATTGTTCCAGGCCTCGACTATTTTTTCTTCTTTCTCATTACCATTTCATTTCCATTGTCCAATCACCACTTTTTTCTCTCCTGTCCATCCATCTAATCTTTTCAACTTTGTTATTTACTCCATGTTTCTAAGATTATTTTGTAAGTTTGATCAAGTGGCCTTCACTTTATAGCTCGATTGGTCCATCCCTTTTCTTAAATGTGGAGCAGGGCAGCGGCACGGGGGAAAGATCTCCATGGAGGGAGGAAATATTAAGATTTAATGATGAAGTCTTAATGGTGTGAAAGAGATAAGATAATGAAACGTTATAAATCTTTGTTTGGAGTTAAAGAGTTCATAGTAATTGGGGGTCTTGACATGAATCATATCAAGATTTCGTTTAATTATAAGGAAATTAATTAATGTAGAAGAAAAGTAACATTTTGTATTATATTCAAGGAATTGAAGTTAAAAATTCATAGTAATTGTGGATCTCAATATGGATCAAACCAAGACTTAATTTGATTATAAAAAATTAAAGTATTATAGAAGAAGAAAAGTAACAATTTGTATTATATTCAAAGAAGAGAGGGAAAGACACACTACAGTGGATTAAGGTTTTGCTACCCAATTTTTTCGCGTGGAAAAAATTCTCGCCGGGAAACATTGATTAAAAACAAAATGAAAATTAAACAATTCAAAAAAAATGAAAAATTGATCAATTGTTTTGATGATAGTTTTGTATTCATTTGAATTGCTTGCTATTTATTTATATGTTTAATTTCTTAATCAGTTTTTAATGAAAAAAAGTTGTTTTTATATATAAAATGTATTTCCATCTCAAGTTGTTTTTTTATTTCTTATAAAAAAACTATCCAGGTTAGATGAAAAGTAAAATTTAAAAATTATCAAGTGTAAGTGAATAAAGAGATTAACAAAACTTTGTTGATCAAATTTTATTTTTTTTATTTATAGAATAAAATACAGAATTATCCAGGTCAAGTAGAGAAATTAAGAAACAAATAAAGAACAATTAATTTGATTAATGCATACATAGAAGACAAGGCACGATTGATCAAATTAATGTGAGCGAAAAGATGATTTTACATTTATAGATTTCTTAATAAAGTTGCGTCTATATATTCTGTCATGATCTGAATCAATATTATGCAGTGTAAAGTAATATCCATTTTACTACCAG